GCTCGGGGCTCCAGGCGCGGGACCCGCGAAGGGTGTCCGCGGGTAAGGTCGGGACTGTCTCAGGCTGCGGGACCCCGGTACAGAGCCGGAGCTGGGCCTTGTCCTCTGGCAGCTCTCCCAGTGTGCGGGCCGGGGCCTAGGGCGCCCTGACTCCTTTGGGCGATGCCCCCGGTCTACGACCTGCGGCGGCTCCGTCCTGCAGCTCGCAGACCCTGGCGCCAGCTGTCCTGCAGGCACACCGGGACCGCTCTGAGGCCCAGCTGCCTCCCCCAGGGAGCCCCTCCTGAGTTGATCCCGTTGTTGGCAGGGAAAGGGGACCACAGTAAGGGATGGTGACTCTCTGTGAAGGACCCTCCCTCAGTCCTGCAAAGGAGCGTTTTCTCTTGGACAGATGTGGGAAAAGCCCGATGGGGAGGGTGCCAAGACTGGAGATAAAATAACCCCTTTTCGGCTGTGGTGCCGACCCAGGCTCGGATGGACTAAGCCTGTTTTGGGCCGGGCCAGACCCCTGTCCCGCAGCGCAGTGGAACAAAGTCAGACCCCGTGCTCTGGGCACACGGGGCACGAGCCTGCAGGTGGGATATACCTCCCTGTCTTCCAGCCCGAGCTTGTCCTTCCAGAGGCTTCTAGCCACCCATCCCCAACTTCCCCCCAAACAGGCCCCACTGACCTAAAGCTGGGCCGTCCCCTTCCCCGCCAGCCACCTCTATGTGTTGTCCCCGAAGCTGCAGCTCGGGCCACAGGTACTCTGAGGCCTGACCTCCTCCAGCCCCAGGAAGTTTGGAGGAACCTCCCTGGCCAGCCCCTGCCAGTACACGTGTGCAAACTCTGTGTGTGTGTGTGTGTGTGTGTGTGTGTGGACACGTGGCTCGGTTCCAGGTGCCTGGAGTGGGGCTGCCAGACCTACCTGCCCAGGGGAAGACTTGGGTCTCCCATCATCCTCCCCACCCGTCTCCTTACATGGCTGTCCCCTCCCACCCCTGCCTCCTGTGTGTTCGTGGTCACCTCCAGGTCGTCATGTACTTCGGATGGCACGGGTGGGTACAGATAGGCCTCTGCCGCTGCCTAGGTCAGCTGGACGAGAGCATGGAACTGTCCGTTGCCAGTCCAGCCCCTGTACAGGACCCGGCACACACGCAGGAAGTGCTCACGGGATGCTGCTGAAAAGAATGCGTGTGTTCGAGTGTTTGTACATGTGTGTGCTCACCTGCGTATAGGGGTCGTGTGAGTGTAATACCTGAGGCCGCTGTAACAAGGTAACCTGCACGTGGTGGCTTAAAACGACAGATTTATGCGTGCACATTCTGGAGGCCCAAGTCTGAAGTCAGGGTGTCAGCAGGGCCACACCCTGGCCAAAGGCTCAAGGGGAGGGTCCTTCCTGCTTCTGCCAGCCCCTGGTGGAACTGGCAATCCATGGGGTCCCTTAGCTTATAGACGCACCGAGGCTGAACACTGAGAGTGGCCTGGGTGCAGGCATCTGTGGGGGCCTGGGCCATGCCGGGCAGGGCGAGGGGGCTGCTAGTGGGAATGGGAAGGGGTGGGACCTCTGTGCCCTGCCTGCTGGCTCTCAGGGCGCAGCCGTTTTGCTGTGGGCCAGCTGCCAGCCCCAAACAGCCAGTACCTGCCATCTTCCTGGAGGATGGCTCCGTTTACAGGCCCGGCTCCCAGAGGTGCTGGGCGCTTAGGGGCTGGGGAGGGAAGGAGGGCTGGAAGTTACCTGGGAGTGCAACTGGGCCTTCCCACTCTACTCATGTCTCTTGGAGCCCCGAGGCGTCTTGCCTGCCTCTGAGAGGGAGACCTGACCTGCCCCTGGATGGAAGGGACCTACCTGCCAGACAGGTGAGGTTGGAGCCTGGCCCCGCTTCCTGGCCTTCCCGGTTTGCAGGTGGCAGGTTTCTTCCCATCCATCTAGGCTGGGGCAGCGACATTAAGCAGGGCTGGTGGGCAGGACAGGCAGGCCCAGGACAAGGATCCCCCAAAAAAGATGCCAGAGGAGACAACCTGCGAGGGGAACTCAGGATTGCCTTGGGGGACCAGGCGCCAGCCTGAGGCCCCCAGAGCAGAGAGGCCCTGGGAGGCGCTGCCAGGAACTGACAGTAAATGCCTTTCCTGCCCCAGTCCTGGAGGGGGCTTGGTGAACCTTGGGCCAAAGGCTCAGGGAGCCGGCTTCTGTGGGATGACTCTCAGTCTGTGTTGTGCATGCAGTCACCCCAAAACCCCAAAGGAGACACCAGGCAGGTCCTGACTGCCAGGCCCGGGGCCTCTGCTTCCCCCAAGGCAGAAGGAGGCAGGCTACCTGGGAGCGTCCACTCTGACCTGGGCCGGCAGCTGGAGCCTTGGCATCTCGGGGGCTCAGTTGTGCAGAGTTCACATCCTGGGCAGCACCGGAGGGCCCCAGGGCAGCTCAGAGGCTCCACGACCAGCGGATACGGCTCTCGGATTTAGTACGTAAAGATACAGGACGCCAGTTGCATTTGAATTTCAGATAAACGACGAATAACTTTCCAGTGTACACCCCACTTGTGTCCCAAGCAACTATTTATCGCTTATGGGAAACACAAATGCAACTGGCAGTCCGCATTTTATCTGGCAACCTTAGCAGGGGGCGACATTAAGACCTCGTTCCTCCCAACATTAAAAAGCGGCACCGGGCTGGTGTGCGAGCAAGTGCGAGCAGATTTGGGTGTGTCTGTGTGTCTCTGCACGTCTGGGGGGTACTGAGCCGGATCTGCATAGGGCAAATGCATGTCCATGTGGCGGCAGGTGGAGGCATGGGGCCCGCACACTCGCTTGCTGGTGTGTGCGCACGTGAGTGCAGTGGACACTCGTGTGTGTGGGCTGGGTGCTGTGGGGCCGGCACTGGAACCAGAAGCCCGTGCCGGTGAAGAGAGGCTGGGCCCCTCCTCCCTCCGCTCAAAGCCGGGCACCTGAGGCTCAGAGGGGGCACAGGGCTGGCCTTCAAACCCCAGTGCAGCATCTAAGCTCGGATCCAAGGGTCAGAATCAGGGCCAGCGCTGGGGGCGGGGCTGGCTGTGGGCACGAGGGGGCAAGTGGAGTCGGAGTCCTGGACTGGCACCGGCCTGGCCCGCCCTGCGGCCCACTGCATGTCCCCACCTGCCTGGCCCCCCAGAGGCAGGACCCACAAGTTCTAGGAGTTCCTCAGAAAAGTGAGGGTCACAGGCTGGGGCCTCTGACTGAGGGGCCACGAGGCAGGAACGTCTGATGCAAGTGGCTGTAAGTGTCCCTTCCTGCTGGCTGACTCATGGCTCACTCCATTCCAGTGGCTCAGCAGTCCTGGGGACAGAGCCAGGGCCCCTGTCCTCCTGGAGTGTGGGGGTGGGGCAGGGAGAAGGGAAAGCAGCGGTGGGTGTGGCCAGAAGCTCCCAGCTACGGGCCTGCGGCCTTTGGGGATCTGGGTGTCTCGGCAGCCTTGGGGCCCACCCTCTGTGACGCTGTGGGGTAGCACTGTGCATATCCTGCCTCCCAAGGGTCAGTCACCAAAAGTCCCCAAGGGAAAGGTGGCGGCAGAGCCAGGGGTTGGGCAGAGCTGGCCTAGCAGATGGCCAAAGGCCTCTACCCTGCCCCAGTGACCTAGGATGGAACAGTTGACTTGTCATCTCCCCATCCAAGGCACTGGACACCCAGGTGGCTCTAGGAGGAGCCAGGTCTCCCATTTCCAGCTGACCTGCTCCCCAACAGTGACCCGGGGCATCACAGACAAGGGCCCCTTGTGTAGAGAGTGGGGGCCTTTCGTGGCATGTGCACAAGTCCTGGGAGGTGCGCAGCCAGGGGAGGACAGAGGTGGAGTGGATGGGGTGTTGGGGGCCAGGAGGAAAAGGGACATGGGCGTAGCGAAAGCCGTGTGCCTGGCCGGCTCAGCCAGGGGCCTCTCTGCACTGGCTGACTCCAGGCCTGGGTCAGAGCCCACCTCCTTGGAGCAGCTCCCCACTTGGCTAGGCCCCAGGCCTTGAGTGGTACTGAGTTTCTGCATGTGCTAGTGACACTTCTCCTAGGCCAGGCAGAGGGCAGAGCTGGCTCCACGCTGCAGAAAGTCACACCCCGGGATCGCCAGGGTAGCGGCCCCCAAAGACGTCCCCTTCCCAGTCCCTGGATCCGTGGATGTGTGACCTCATGAGATACTCAAGGGACTTTGCGCATGGAATAAAGGACTCTGAGAGGGGGGACGACCCTGGGTTCCCCCGGCAGTCCAGCGTCCTCATGAGGGGGAGGCGGGAGGGTCACAGTCAGAGATAGATGAGGCTGCGCTGCTGGCTGTGACTATGACGACGGGGAAGGGGCCACGAGCCAGGGACGCGGCGCCTCTGGAAGCTGGAAAAGGCTGGAGACGGTTCTCCCTGGAGCCTCGGGAAGGCCCGGCCCTGCCTGCGCCTGGGTTTAGCCCTGAGAGACCCATTTTGGATTTCTGGCCTTCAGAACTATTACAGAAAAAGTGTCTAAGGAGCCCCTAAATCTGTGGTAATTTGTCATAGCCGCCCCGGGAGGCTCACACAGGCACTGATGTCTGTGGGACCCGGAGTTCCCATTTTGCAGATGAGCAAAGCCAGTTGAGTCCAGCCAGGCCCGGAAGAGGCAAACCTGGCTTCCTCCCCGCCCCGATAGTGTGGGGGACATGGGCAATGTTGGGGGGGCGGGGAGGGCAGGAAAGGTCTGGAAGCCCGGACCGCTGGGCCTGGCGCCTGCTGACCCACCGAGGGCCAAGGAAACCGCTGTGTCCCGAGGCCCGGGTTCCCCCTAACCACGGGGCCAGCGCAGGGACCGGGCTCCAGGAAAGTCCTCCCCCAGGACTGGATTTGCTTGTACTGCTAAATGCGCGAGCCGATCGGCTGCCGGGCATGTGACCCGGCGCCTCTGAACCCTCCCCGTCCGCGGCGCTCAGCCGGTTCCCACGCCATGACCACCCTCGGGCGCTGCGTCCCCGGGGCCTCTGCGTCTCATCCGCCGAGCGGGGCCTCCAGGCCGGTTGCCCAGGGGTGATGGGAGGTGACCCGAGGGCGCCGTGGACTCGGGTGTCGGGGCCGCGAGCCTTGGGGAACCTGCTGCGGTCGCGCCTGCGTCCTGGTTCCGGCGCTTGGCACCTCCGGCCAGAGTGGTTGCCCCGGCAACGCATTTACGTCAACGCACCTGGCGCAGCGCCTGGGCTCCAGGGAGTAGGAGGCGGGGCCCTGGCGCTGGGCCAATAGGATTCCAGGCACCGAGTGCAAGAGGCGTGGTCGCGGCCTGCGCTCCAGCCAATGGGGTTGTTGTTGTCAGGGCCGCGCGAGTAGGGCCACGCTCCTTTTAAAGGGCAACGCGCGTAATTTTCTGCGCTCTGCTCTCACACTCAGGTTTAGCCCAGGGAGGCCCATTCTGGACATCTGGCCTCCAGAACTGTGAGATGATAAATGTGGTTTTAGGCCACCAGGTTTTGGTGATTTGTCACAGCAGCCCCAGGAAACCACCATGTTCTCACCCTTAGGTGGGCGAGACTTCTGTTGTTGCTATGACACCTCCGCAGGGCTCCTTGGGGGCTTTTGGGAACTGGACTGAAGGATGAGGACAGTCACTTGACAAAGGGTGGGATGCGTCTGCCTACTCTGGGCCTTTCCTGCAGAGCTCCTAGCAGAATATGTGTTCTTCCCTTGGCCTCGCTGGGTGGTCAGAACTCATGGTGGCCTCCAGGGCTGAACTGGAGGAGCAGGCAGGAAGATGGGTCACAGAAATGGGGAGAAGGGTGGGAGAGACAGAGGGTACCACGTGCAGTGAGTCTGCAGGGACCCTGCGCTCGTGGCCACCTCCCTGCATCATGACTGACCAGGGACCTAGCTGTGAGGTCCCAGCCAGCTTTGAAGCCGTCCATTGCTGAATCAAGACCAGGGCCTGGCAAGAGGGAGAAGCTTCCAGCAACTTGGTCAGTCAGTGCTGGGGTCCTGGGCTGGGGGCTCGGGGGTGAGCACGCCTGACTTCATCTCCTCTTTCCCAGAAGGTGCCAGAGGAACCAGGTGTGTCTGGCGTGAGCTTCAGGCCAACCCCAGCCTCTGATGAGAGCTCACACAGACCCCTGAGGCCCGGCAGCAGAGCGACGAGAACCCACCAGCCTGGCAGGCTCGGGGACCGGCCTCTGCCTCGTCCGCTGGTAGCCAGAGCGGTTTCTGGCTGTTTTCCAGGGCAGGCAGCCATCCTGGGAACAGAATTCCCGCTCAGGGACTGAGGCCTGCAGTGGGGAGGGGTGGAGCACAGCAGCTGGTTTTGTTTTTCATCTGCTGTCTTTGGTCTGGAAAGAAGGGCAGATGGCTCCAGAAATATCTAGGGACGTGCCCCTCCCCCCTCCCCGGGTAGTGATTGGTGGTGGCATCAGAAGGTCAGCAGAGGTGCCGTGTAAACAGCGGCTGCAAAATGCAGCTCCTGGCATAAAACTCCACACGTGATTGAGGACGGCCAGAGGTGGACGCAGCCCAAAGGCCCAGCAGCTGATGATGGACACACACAACGTGTCCGTCCACACGGGGGAGTCATCACTCGGCCATGAAAAGGAGGGAAGCGCTGACCCTCGCCACAGTGTGGATGGACCTTGAACACACAACGCTCAGTGAGAGACTTGACACACAGGCCACACGGTGTGTGACTCCACTGATGCGAAACATCCAGAACAGGCATGTCCACAGGGACAGGAAGTGGGTTCCTGGTTGTCAGGGGCTGGGAGGGGGAGGGATGACTGCTGATTGATAGGGATGGGGCTTATTTTAGGGTGGTGAACTGAGGGATTTTCCTCTTAATGAATCTTTAATTAGAACTGAAACCACCACATGAGGCCAGTGGCTGTGCCAGCGGACAGCATGGTCTAGGACAACGCCTGTCCCGGTGTGGGAATTCCCCTGACCCTGTGGGACGGCCCCATTGGGTTCTTGGAAGAATGTCTATTTTAGGCTCTCTGCTGGTTCTGGCCCTCTTTGTCATGGCCACCGGGATGATACAAATCCACAGCCACTCCTGAATGACAGCACTTCGCGTGTGGCCAGGAGTGAGCATGGCCAGCCAGTCCGAGCCGGACACTGCTGGTTCCTTCTGCTGCCGCCCCATCCGGTCGCATTCGCAGACAGCAGTACCTGCCTCCATCACCTCTCCCGGTTGGACAAGGTTTGGGGCAAACTGTTCTATTGGGACAAGTGACTGGGAGGAGTCACTGGGAAGCTGGCCTCTCTAATTTTTTTTAGAAGTCTTGATAAGTGACAAAAAACGTACAAAAACATTCAAATGGTCTCTCCAGTTCCTGTGTTCCAGTCAGTGGGCCCCCAAGGCCATTCGTGTGCAAAGCGTCTCTTTCTAAAGTGTATGAATGTCCCATGGCTGCTGTGACAGTTAAGCACAAATATAGGGACTTAAAGAAAATTTCTCATCTCCAGTCCTGGGGTCGGGGGTTCCACATGGGCCTCACAGGCTACACCCAGGAGGGGCGGGGCCGGACCTTCCCGAGGCTCCTTTTCCAGCCGTGTCCCTGGCTCACGGCCTCTTCCCCTTCATCAGTCACAGCCACCAGCGCAGCCTCATCCATGTCTCTGTGACCTTCCCACTTCCCTCTCGTGAGAACCCTGTGAGGACACTGAGACCCCAGGAATGCGGGTCGTCCCCTCTCAGGAGCCTTGACTCGGTCCTGCCTGCTCAGTCTGTCATTGAGGTGACCTGTCTGCAGGTCCCCGTTTTCCCAAAGATCAGTGGCAGCTCCCGGCTCTTAGGCGGGCCCTGGGACGCTCCTGGCACACTTGCAGGTCTGAGAGTGAGGGGACAGCTTCTCCGGGCAGTGTCCCCAACGACGCAGGCCAAACCCGCCAGGAGCAGCCTTCCTTCCTCTGCCCACGGAGCCAGTGCGCCCTCTGGAGGCGGGAAGCCATGTGCGCTGGAGGCTCCTGGCGGCCAGCCCGCCCTGTGGACAGTGCCACCATCCTCCTCGTCCAACTCTTGTTCCAGCTCCTGTTCCAGCTCACAGGCTGCAAGCCCCTGGCCAAGGACCAAACACAGGTGGCCCTGGAACCGTGACACTTTACATTTGAAAGGAGCCCCGACAGTAAGAAACGGCTCCAACTCATCACACGAGAACAGTCTGAGGGTGGCCATCCTGTGCCCAAGGTTGCAGAGTTGATCAGTCACGGCTGGAACGGGACACCCCTCTGTCTGTCCCCTCTCAGCCCAACGTTTTCTGGAACCTCTTTTCACCTGACAAAAAGGCAAGGCGTCAGGATCAGGGCTGGTGGGTGTGGGAGGCAGTTCGGAGAAGGCAGAGGATGGTGGCCCCACCTCCTGTTCTGACACATTTACTATCGCTGTCCCCACCCTGCACCCGTGACCTGCCAACCCCACCCTTTCTGCACGTCTGTTCCTGTATTTGGGTGTTTTTTTCAGACCACGACCATTGTGACATTTGTTGTTTCTTTGCTCCTTGGGGGCGAGAGCACCCTGGGGACAATGGCAGTGATGTGCCCCAACGCCAGGCCCTCCTGCCAGAAAGAGAACTCACAGCCAGCAGCAGTGGCTACTAAAATGGCACAATTTATTCTGATGTTCGTGGCATAACAGCCACAGGTGCAGGAGGGTGGGGAGGGGACCCTCCCTGCCCACAGTCCCTGCCACCTTCCCCGACCTGGCCAGGCTGACAGGAAGAGTGGGCGACTGGGGTTAGGGAGCACAGTGGTTGTGGTGTCTGGTCGTGGCTTTGCGTTTAGAAAGAGCTACACCCAGTGGCTGGTGTCTTGCACTCCGTAGGCCCGACCAGGGCTGTGAGAGCCGACTCAGCAGTACCCGGAGGGTCAGGCTGAGGTCGTGGGAATCGCACTTGTTTGGTGTTGGGTGACAGCACCCCTCTCTTCCATGAGCACCCTGGACACACGGGGTCCTCGGAGGTGGGCGTGGTTGAGGGAGGGGCTGCAGGGGAAAGGCCACTGCAGGTGCCAGTCAGCAGGCAGGGCGGAGGGGCCGGGGGTTGATGCCGGGGTAGCGAGAGGCTTCCTGGAGTCACTTCCGAGTGACCCCACCTCCCAGTGTCCTGAGGGGAGACGGTGGTGGACGTTGGTCCCGTGGACAGGCCCAGACCTGGAGGGTCCGTGGAGGCTCCCCGTGTTGTTCATACGGGGACATATGTCTCGAGGCCGTGGACTCACTGCTTATGGTAGAGAACTTTCCCCCTTAATCTCAAGGTCGTGAGGGGCCTCAGGAGACCCAGGGTGCAGGCACGGAGTCTGGAGCCTGACGGATGAGCCAGTGTTTGGGAGGAGTTGAAGGCAGAAAGCGGACAGAGAGGACGCAGGAGGGGAGGGGGCTGGGGACGTCGTACCACTCGTGACGGTGACCTGACAGTGACCGATGCTAGAAGGCCTGGCGGGTACGGGGTCCTATCTTTGACTGGAGCCTGCAGGCTGTCCCGTCCCAGGCTGCAAAGCTGGGGCACGCAGCGACAGGCCGAGTGGGGCTAAGGCCAGCGTGCTGAGGTGCGGTGGGGCAGAGGTTTGGGAGGAGCTCCAGCCCCCCGGGGACAAGTGCACGTGCTGGACTGGAGAGGCGGGTCCTCCTGGCTGCTCACAGCGCAGAATCAGAGTCCAAGCCCAGCTGTGTGGGCGTAGGGAGGCCGTACCCCACACACAGGACCCATGGCTGCTGCCACCCGCAGTCAGGGAGAGGGCTTGCCGCCCTGTTCAGTGGAGCCTGGGTGGCACAGGACTTGCTGTCCAATGGTTGTGATGTCACTGAGCCCTGGGCCAGAAAACATGGTCCATGTTCCAGAGAGGTGGCGCTCGAGTGGGCGTGTCCCCTGGCACTGCCTCGGGGATGGGGAGCCCGAGGGGCTCTCAGTGGCACATTCGGGCAGTCATTTCTTTCTGTTAAGAACAAGTAGGATGTCACGTATCATCACAAGAGGCTACAATGCACGCACACCTGGAAAAGTGGGGGCCGCGTCTCGAGGACCCCTCATTTAGGGCCACACCTCATGGAGAGGGGAACAGTCAGCAGCAGCCTGGGCGGCAGCCCCATGAGCAACCAAAGAAGCCGCGCTGTCTGCTCTAGGGGCCAGACGGTGCCCCTTGGCACTCGACCCACCCCAGAGCTGAAAGCAGCCATGGCCATGGGTGAACGGCTGACTGTGCCGCTAAAACTTCATTCACAAAACCCGTTTACTGGCCGCTGCTTCATACACTCAATCAGACAGCGGAGGAAAACTTCTGGAAAGCAGCCTGGATGCGAAGATGAACACCCATAGGGCGACCTGCACGCCGGTGACCCCAGCCTGCGAAGCCTGTCCTGGACAGGTGGCTGATAAATGCAAAGGGCTGGGAGGTGGTGCCTGGGAACCCCGCACAGCTGGCCAGGCCAGCACCCAGCCGGCTTGTCCACAGCACCCTGGGGAAGGTCATGATCTGCCCTCGCTGTCCACCCGCCTCCACAGAGGATGCTGGGCACTGATATAGGAGGAATGATGGGATCACAGCACTAAGTGACAAAACGGCCAGCAGATCGAAGCGCGGACTGCGCCTCTCAGCGTCTGGTGAATACGCTGGTGAGAGTCACAGGAATGAACCGCCGTACAGGGAACAATTCAGCGGCATTCGCGGCCACGAGGGTGGGCAACCGCGCCTCCGCCTCGTCCCAGAACATTCCAGCACCGCAGAGCAAAGCCCTTCCCCATCAAGCAGTGCACTAGTAGCTCTAACTGTGGGAAAACGTGTTCTGATAAGTGAGCCTGCAGGGGGCCACGCAGAAATGAGAAAGCCACATGAGATGGCTTCCGTGTTCTCGGCTGTGAGAGAACGTCCCTTCCGGGGCCTGAACCGATGGTGGGGGGCGCTGGGATCAGCCCAGGCTCCCCCAGCGTTTCGCAGCTCCTGCCCCTAGAATGCCCCCGGGGGCCCTGTGTGGTGCTCGCTGGGGGGCAGCCGCCCGCCACGCTGTCACCCCTCAAGTCCTGCTCAAAGCCCAAAGCAACTGGGGAGCCCTGTGCTGCAGTTGGGGAAATGTGGGGTGTCCACCATTGATAAGCCACAGCCCACGTGATGAGGACGGGTCCCCCATGAGCCCCTTGCTACCTGACTTGTCCCATCTCCTGGTGGGGTCAACAGTGACTCATTGGGGACGTCCACAGAGAGAGACAGTGGACTCCTGGATGCCAGAGGCTGGGGAAGAGGAGGATGCTAGAGGCTGGTAGGGTCGGGGCTTCTCTGGGGTGACAGAATGTTCTGGAACAGACAGGTGCTGGTTGTGCATGGCCCTATGAGTGTACGAAAGGCCACTGAATGATCCAGTTCACGGTGGTTAATTTTAAGTTATGCAAATTTCACCTCCATTAAAAACAAAAAAATCATCCCTTGCTTTTAGGCCAGGCCGAGAGGAGGGCGGGAAGATGGGGACGCTGGGGACATGGGCCACCAGGCCGCTGTGCGCTCACTGTGCGTTCCATGCGGGTCCAGGTCTCCGTAGACCTGGTTCCTCCTACTCCCTATGGGCGTGGCGGCCCCAACACCCAGGGCATTTGTGCCACGTGGGCCCGCATTCCCACGAGGCCTGACAGCAGAAAGAAGCAAATCAGCCCAGTGGCAGGTCCCAGGCACCAGGCCTTGGAGAGGAAGAAGCCCGCCCAACCGCGGCCACACGCAGTGTCACCGCCACCTGAGGACAGAGGCCTGAAGGGCCCGGCCGCCCACTCACCAGCGGCTCCAGCTCCTTGGTGTCGATGAGGTCGAACTCCTTGACGAAGTAGTAGAAGTGCTTGTAGCAGGTGTTGACGTGCGCCTCGGAGCCCATGTGCGCGATGCGGTCGAAGTGGTGGATGTACACGTGCACGAACACGCGGAACAGCCGCGACAGGATCTTCCTCACCGCCGGCAGAAAGTTCCTGGGGAACGGCGTGCCTGTGCGGGGAGGACGGGCTCAGGGGGCTGGCTGGGGCCCGTCCGAGGCCACGCGGTCCATCCCCAGGAAGGGGCCCCTTTCTCCAGGGCCTGTGACCTCCTGACCCTACCTTGGGCTTCTCGCCACCACCCAAAGGAGCCCTCTGAAATGCGGGGGAAACCCACCATGCTGCTGCTTAACGATGCCTGGGGGACAGGATGGGGACAGATCTGCGGGGAGAGTCCGTCCCCGACACCCAACATCAGCCGCTCGGGCCAGGGGTCCAACCCTGGCTGGGGACGTGCTGGAGCCACTCATTCCTTGTGCCTCTGCCAGGGCCCTCCTCGGAACCAGAGGCGCCCGGCTGCACCCGCCAGCTCTGGGCCGCTGTCTGCACATCGGGCTCCGGCCACAGCTTCCGTCTTCACTGTGTGTGTATTTCCAGTAACGTTTATTTTTTTGATAGAATGGGACCACCCATAAAAACCTGTTTTTTGGCTTAATATTCTCCACGTGCCAGCTTGCTTCCTCTCTCCATCTCAGGCAGGTTGGCACAATACCGTTCTATCTGACGCACCTGTCACAGGCTTGCTGCACATGCGCACTGTGCTATGACAGCTCCCGTTTTGGATTTACCGCTTGATTGCATTTGTTACAATTGTGGTAACACACGGGCACCGTGAGACCCCCACCAGAGCCACTCCAGGTGCCAGCCCGGTGGTGTTCAGCACATTCGCATTGCCATGTGCTGCACCAAGACGTCACGTCCCCTTCGTCCCACAGGACAGATGTCAAGTATGTATTCGGGAGATCCGACCAGTGCTACCAGCTGGGCGCACGGGACCAGGCGGACGGTCCAGCCCAGGGGACACGCAGATGTCGCTGACTGTGGGAAAGCTGCAGTTCACGTACACGCTCCCAGGAGACGGCGTCCACAGCCGCATGGCCGATGCTCACGGGGCCTGTGGTCAGCTGAGAACAGCCCAAAGATGCTCGGGCAGGTGGGGAGGGCTCACGATGCAGCGTCTGCAGCAAGGCCCAGCCTGAGCTCCGGCCCAGGCAGCCGACATGGCCACTCACCACTGGGGGGGGCGGGGGTCTGAGACATGTCCAGTTAGAGGGCAGATGTGACAGGTCCAGGCTGGCCCTGCTGCCCTGCCTGGGGCAGGCAACCTCATCACATGAGAGCTGGCGGTGCTGACGTTCCCTCGGCGCTGGGTGCCGGTGAAGGGTCCCGTATCACAGTGAACAGCCTGATGCTGTGGAAGGTTCCTTCAGTATCGGCGAGGCCTCGGGCTCCGGCGTCCGTCTGACAGGGTGCGGGGGGAGCAGGCACTGTCCATGAAGGCCTTCGAAAGCCACACGGCGGGGCGGTCCCCTCGAGGGGGTGGTAGTCCCCATGCACTAAGGGCTTGTGACACAGTTACGAGTCAGAGAGAACATCGGGCAGAGGAAGGCGTAAAAACGGAGCGCCTGGCTCAGCACCAGACCCGCGCGGGACTCTGGGCCCGCCACGAGCCCAGCCCTCCCCGTCCCGGGTGACACGGGGGTGAGAGGGTGCTTTAGGGCAGCCCAACCTAGGACAAGTACTAGAAATGGCATCTCTAAGACTGGGCTGCCCACGCTTGCAATGGCGCTCTCACACAGGGGAGAAAGTCTGGCCCACCGCCAACTTCTGTGAATAAAGCTTTATTGGGACCCAGGCCCTCCTGTTTGTTTATATCACGTCTATGACGGTTTTGGGGATACACAGCAGATCTGAGAGATTGAGACAGAGACTGTCCGGCGAGAAGTCTGTTGGCTTCAGCCTGCGGTCACGGGCTGGTGCTCCGGCCTGAGAGGATGCACAGGCGTCAGTGCCCCGTCCTTCCCTTGCTCAGCCACAAATCTCCCAAGGAGCACCCGGCAGGCTCGGTCGGGAAGCGCTGCGGGCGAGAAGCAGAGGCACCGCTGTCCTGCTCGGTGTCGCACCCCACTGCCTGGCTGGCGACAGATAGGGAGGCCTGGCTTAGGCAGGCCCCGGGGGGAAGCAGCAGTGACTCTGGAATCCGGCCGCGCGGCTGAGGTCGGTGGTGTGGCCTCAGACTCCTGGCTGGGCGGCCGCGTGGCATCTGCCAAGTTCACTTTCCCTCTATTTCTTGTCAGTTTCCTCTTTGGTAAATTGCTGGAATTGCACAGGCGAGGAGCTGATCAGGTGCTCAGCATCTAAGTTTAGGACGCGGATCCCCGGGAGCTGTTGGGACTGCAGGGGTCCCAGAAGGGAGCATGTGCAGACACACTCCCCAAGGTCGCAGCACAGACTCAGTACCTGATGGGGGACCCCCAAGAATCCCGGGAAAGTGTCTACTCTGGCCAGAGTCTTCTCAGAGGGGCCCCCGAGAGCCCCTGCTGGGATCCACCTGTCCCGGTACGGACGGCCAGGCAGGTCCAGAGGGGCGAGACACTCGACTGGTGACCCGGAGCCGGGCTGAGACCCCCGAAGATGTGGGCCCAGGACCTGCTCACCATTTTCCGTGAAGCTTGCTGATGCCGACGGTGAAGGTGAGAAGGGCCTCTGCCTGTCAGTCCTGGGGCCGCCGTATGAGTTCTGCCCCTTGGTGCCTGGCCCTGCTCGCATGTGTCCCTCAGCCCGAGGCCAGAGGTCCCACGCCGCATCCACAGGCTGAGGCCCAGGTGCGGGCGGAGCCGCTTCCTCTGGAGGCTCCAGGGCAGTCCGTTTCTGTCTCCTCCGGAAGCGGCCGGCATCTCTGGGCTCACGACCTCTTCTTCATTTGGCTGTCACGTCACCTCTCTTCCGTGCACCCAATGTCCCCACGCCTTCCCTTCATAAGGACCCTTAGGATGACACTGAGGGTCCATCTGCATAATCCAGAACAATCTCCTGACGCAAGGGAGCCTTAACTTGAAGAAAACCACGGCCCGTCCACACAGGGCAGGGGGGCGTGTCACTCGGCCGTGGAAAGGGGGGAGGCGCTGACACTCGCCACGATGTGGACGGACCCTGGACACATGCTCAGTGAGAGACGCTGGACACACAAGCCACACGACGTGTGACTCCACTGATGTGACATGTCCAGAATAGGCGCGTCCACAGACAGAACGTGGGTGAGTGGGAGTCGGGGGTTGGGGAGAGGGGTGGGGCTGCTTTTTGGGTGATGGAAGGCTCTGGAATGAGACAGAGGAACGGCTGCACAGCCCTGTGAACGAAGCGGATGCTGCCAGCCCGTGTGTGCTAACGGGAGCCCTCACGGCCTGCGACCCCTCCCCGCCCGCCGACTCACCGACGCTGGTAGGGAAGAGCTCCTCGTTGTTGATCTGTGCCTCGATCCAGTCCATCAGCAGGTCCATGTACTGCGGGGCCGACAGCGCCGTGGGCTTGCGGAACCTGTGCGCGTCCTGCCAGCGGTACTCGTACTTGGGGCCGCCAGACATGACGGGGCAGGACTGCTCGGTGCAGCCGTCGCTGATGGTGCCGTAGATGAGGTTGACGCGGTTGAAGAAGTCCACCACGTGCACGGCCACCCAGTCGTGGAGGTCCTCGCCGGCGGGCAGCTGCACGGCCAGCTTGAGGTCCAGCCCCGCATTCAGCGACGCCTGCGCCTTCTTGTGCAGCTCAAAGCGCTGGGTGCCTGGCTCGAATTTGCGTTTGGGGCGGAAGGTCCTGTCCTTGTTGAAGACCTGCTTCAGGAAGGGGCTGGACATCGTGGCCACACGCCCTGGGCTAGGCCCTCGTGCCAGCCGCTGACACAGAGGTGGCGGGGAACTCACCGGCCCCGGGCGCTCCCTGGGATCTGAAACACAGAATGAGAACTGTCACCCCTTTCCAGAAACCCCGATCCGGCACACAGGTGGGCTGGGCTGGCGGCTGTTCCCAGGGCTCGTGGTTCAGAGTTTCATCAAAAAGGTGCCAGCCCCTCAGGGGACAGAACTGCCCTGTGGCATGCCCCGACTGCCTCATAGTGGGAGACATTGCGTCACAGCCCCGGAGACCCAGACCGGCGGCGTCCTGCCCCTGCGCCTGCAGGCGCTCTGTAGCCTGGGAGAGCGTGCTGCCACAAGCACAGGGCTAGGTGGTGGCCTCTGTACAGAGATGTCCATGTCCCCGGGAAGTGCAAACAGGACTGAATTTAGAAAAAGAGTCTTTGCAGATGTGATTAAGTGAAGGACCTTGGGACATGCTCATCCCGGATTGTGTGGGTGGGCCCTAGACCCAGTGACGACTGTTCTCATAAGAGGACACGGACGCAAAAAGGCCACGTGACAGCGGAGGCAGATGTGGGGTGACGTGTCTACAGGCCAAGGAACGGCAGGTGTCGCTGGCACTGCCAGAGCCACCAGTGGCCTAGGACACACACTCCCTCGGAGCCCCAGGGACCAGCCCGGCTGACGCCCTCTGGGGTGAGGGGGACTCGCTGACGCCCTCCGGGGTGAAGGGGACTCATAGCTTCTCTGTCCAAACCACACTGGATTCGGGCTTTAAGTCAGCGGGACCTCATTTTACCATCCTGATGATGTCCGCAAAGACCCCATTTCCAGCGGGAGGAGGTACGCTTCACCCCAGTGTACCACCTAAGAAGCCTACACAATCTTGTCTGAGGCCTGTCTGCACCTACGCGGGGACGTGCTAGCCACCCGCTGGCTTCTGGGGACAAGGCCCTGGTGCAGGGGCCGCAGCGGGCACCGCCTTGCAGTGATGGCCCGGGTCACGCCCACCTCCCCTCTGCTACGTAGGGGAGCAGTGAGCTCTGTCTCACAGGCGACAGGATAGAACCCACATGGAGCCCGAGCCCGGTCACACTCAGGCCACAGCCACCCGTTGTCCCCACGGCACTCCGCTACCATGCTGCTCTGGCCACGGTGGGGTCTCTAGGGAGTTCATGGGGCGAAGTGCATAAGGGGACGTGCATGATACAGAAAGTGCGGGCAGCGCCAGGCCAGGCCCGGCCCCAGGCGCACACCACGGGGGACACGTAACCGTCCATGATAGCCTGGTGGGTCCCCACCCCCGTTTTCTTTGCTTAGATTGTGATACGGACGAGGAAGGGGCGACCAGGAAGACCGGACCGGCTCAGGTCCAGGGCGGGCTGGGGTAGGCAGGCTGCCCCAGGCCTCAGGCTTCCTGAGCAACGGGCACCCCACGTCTCTCTGTGCGTCTAGGACGACACGCGGGTGACGTGTGCGGGCGCTCCCCTCCCCAGAGCCCTCGGGGGCGTGACCGCCTCACTGCCACCTCACCACCCGGGGGCCACTCTCCGTGCTGTGAAGGCCACAGGCCAGCCACCCGCGCCCCGTTTCACATCCTCTCCCCTCCCAGTACTTCCCGCTCCGCTAACTCCTGAACCCCGGGTTTCAGGGAACCCTGCTTCTGGCCCCCCCCGACCCGAAAGCATAAAAAGCAACCACACCGCCACATGGGGAGCATCCCCCAGTCCCTGAGACCTTGACTCCGGGCACGTCCCGTTCCCAGTTTCCGTGGGTTTGCCGTTCCTCCCGGGACGGCGGCAGTTCACTGTGACCTGTGCCCGCCCTCCAGACCCGGCCCACCGTGCACCAAGGGGCCACCAACGGAGAGGCTTCGAGCAGCCCAACCTCACTGCCAGAAAGTTCTAGGCATCTGGAACGGGCCTCCTCTTTCCTGCAGGGCCGCCGCTCAACCCCGGGCCAGGCTCCCGCCTGACTCCGAGAAGTGGCACGCACGCCGTGTGCCTGGACTAAGGCAGAGTGACCCGGGAGACACGCTGGCCCCGTGGTGTCACCTGGGCAGTCCTGCAACCAGGGGACGCTGGGTCATGTCTGGAGATGAGCGGGGAGCAGGGAAGCTGCTCTGCATGCCCCAGTGCCCGGGCCGGCCCCACAGAGAGTGACCCGGCCCCAGGGCCAGCCAGTGCCAGGGGCATGTTGGGGCGAAGGCCGAGTTCGGGTCATGTCACACGAATGGTGAAAGCGGGCAGAGCCGCCCTGCCATGCCAGGTGAAATGGACGCCGCGCTTGGGGACGGAGGGGCCAGCTGGATGGGAGAAGCCCCAGTGCAGAGCGGACGAACTGCACACACCCGGGGATGGGGAGACATCGGAACGCTCGAGCTGGCCAGTGGCAACGTGCAGTGTGGCAGTGCCGTGGGACAGTCTGGTACACAGAGTCATTGTCTGACCTGGCGACTCACCCCTAGGTGTCCACCAAGAGAAGTGACAACTCGCGGCCACATAGAGCCTGTGCGTGCGCTTCCACGGCAGCGCGATGCACAGCGATCGCCAGAGGCTGGACGTAAGCTGAGTGTCCACCCACGGTCTGACGCGTCTGTCCACACGGGGGAATGTCACTCGGCTGTGAAAAGGGGGGAGGTGTTGACACTCGACAACGTGGCTGGACCCTGAACACACAACGCTCAGTGAGAGACGCTGGACAGTCGGCCACACAGTGTGTGAAATGTCCAGAACAGGCACGTCCACAGACGGAATGGGTGACTGGGTGTCAGGGAGCTGAGGAGGGGGTGGGGTGACTGCTGATGGGGATGGGGCTGCTTTCGGGTGATGGAATATTCTGGAACTGGAGGAAATGACTGTACGACCTCGTGAAGGCTCTAAAAACACTGGACTGTGAGTTAGGCGAGTCGTGTGGAAGGTGAAGCACACCCCAACAGTTACTAAGACATGCGACACAACGGACGACAGCAAGCCGCCGCCCGCAGAACCTAACAGGACCTGTCACCCACACTGGACGAGAGGGACGGTGTCCAGCACCTGGACGAGGGTGACAGGCACAGGTCCCGAGTGGGCGGCAC